ACACACACACACACACACACACACACACACACACACACACACAGCTCCTCTAATAATCATTGTGAACATGTGGAGCTTTGACTTTGTCTCCAGTTTGTTTTCGGGACATGTTCTGGTTTTGTTATGTCCTCTGAGGTAAATCCACTCGTGACAAACAGTCGCACACACGATGCGGTGTGTGAACATCACTAGTTTATCTAGAAAACACAATCGCTTCATTCAAACTGGACGTGACGCACAGACGCAGCACTTTGTATTCACGACACATTTCCTCACACGGATCTACGGGAGGCAGCGGAGACGTAGAGCCCGTAAACACAACACTGACAACATGTGAGAGGGAAGTGAATTCAACCACAAACAACGAGGGAGGCCTCGTGTCTCCATACCTGAGTGTTGTCCTGCACCTTCACGCTGTCAGCGGCATCCTTCAGGGCGCAGACATGTTGGATCACTGAGCGCTGCACAGTCTGCTGCCGGTATTTACTGGTCTGCCACCTGCTGGACTGGAGGAGCAACTGCAACACCAGGCAGGAAACAGTGAGCTGAGGTGTTGCTCAAGGACACTTCAGCTCCTGGGATTTAATAGTTTAATAGTGTCCCAGTCTATTCTACTCTATCACATATAATCCCTTTTATTGTCTGATTGCACAGAGTATAATAGCATTAAAGATTCAGTGTGTAGAATTTAGTGACATCTAGTGGTAATGTTGCATGTTGCAGCTGAATACCCCTCACCTCACCCTCCCCTTTCAAACATGGAAGAGAACCTGGTAGCCATATATATGGCAGCCTCCATCAATATGACCCGCTCCCGATGTACATATAAAGTATTTAAATATAAAGGGCCCATTCTAGTGTAAAGAAAACAATAATTTATACAATTTTGATGCTCACACACTATGGAAAACATCACCAGGATTATTTTATATTCAATTTCTGCTGATAGACCCATTTCATATTAATCTTATACACTGTACCTTTAAGATCCAGAGCTGATTACACTTATTCACGTTCTGCACAAACAATTGGTCCCTTACATTTATCTGACAGAGGCTTTTTTTGCACATAACAAAAAAATAAAATAACCAGAATTGAATTCAGCAGAGCGAACACCTTCACCAGGTCCCGTATGAAACCACATTTAAGTTCACTTGTTCCATGATTTTATTTAGATCTGCATCAAATCTAAAACCCTCATAAATATCAGCCCCCTAAACCACCCTGTTTTTCTTCAAGATCCGTGAATCATTCTCTGAGAAATCTTCGAAAATGTAGCTTCAGTCACAACCTCAGGTCATCACCTCAGAGAATGATCAAATAAGATTGGCCAGTTTTGATCTATTAATTTAAGTGTCTGCTTCAGTGTCACGGTGTCACCTGGCTCTGGGTACTGGATAAAAAAAATGAATTCATGTTCTTGTGCTGCCAGATAATCTCCCTCCTGTGACCTAGACCAGAGTAATCCTGTAATTAATTCTGTTACATAATGAAATGAGCATTAGAGACATAATTTCCATTAAAGGTCATAGAAGCATGGACAGTTATTGACCAAATTATTTTTTTCTGATGAAAAATATGTTAAGTTGCTCACACCTCAGAAACAAAATAATTTTGACAAACAGAACAAACATTTGTTGGACATGGTTCAGGACTGACAAACATTTGTTTTCTCCTGTGAGCCTATTTACCTGCAGCTTATTCCAGTGCAGCAAATTCAATCAAGCTTCGCCAAATTTCACACACTCATAGATATCAGTTCCTTGTCTGATATTTTTTAATTAGATCCACTGATTGTCTTGAATACCATACCAAATCTTTCTGAAAAGTTGTGTGGAAATCGATCCAGTAGGTTTTGTCTAATATTGTTTGCAGGTATACAAACCAACAAACAAATGGACAGGATTGAAAAGAAAACCTCCTTGGTGAAGGTAAATATGAAGGTGGCTGCATGATACCTAATATAACTTAAAGGAAATAAACTAGTATCAACAGCAACTAATCTAATTTCACAGTATAGTTGTAAAACTATTGAAACAAACACTGCACAAGGTCTAAACTCCACAAATCCAAAAATCGAACCGAAAAGGTTGAATTCATTCAAATATTTTATTTGGAATCAATTCATCAAGTTATATACATAAACATTATTTCACTTAATAGTGGCACCATTAATGTTTTGACAGATTTATGTGAACTGTAATAATGAGATTATCTATTTTAAAAAGAACTTTAGGTCAAATCATACAGTGTACAAACACTCACCATACAGTTGTGCTCAAGTGACAAAATATGTAAGAAACACTCAAATTCTTTGTCATCAAAACGTGAGGGGGTGAAATTCAAACTTTATGTGAAATGTTCTTTATTTAGTTAATTTTACACCAAAAGTTCAAAATGCAAAGTTGAGATTCATCACATTGACAAGTGAATAAGTACCAAAATAAGAAGAAAAAAAAAAATTTCACAGTATGTTTGAGGTAAATGTTCAGAAAAATTGGTCTCCAATATTTTGTCATTTTAGAAATATTTAATAAATAGTAAGCTATTGTAAAATGCCTTAAAAGTACCATTAAAACGTTATTAAAGATTCACAGATCAGTTGGTAGAATTGGTCACTTTCAGTAAGGGAGCAGTGCTAAGGAATGTTCACCAGGAAAGAATTCCCTGAATAAGAAAGATAGAAGCATCTGTGTAAAAAAAGAGAGAGGGCGACAAAAAAAAAAAAAGGGAAGTTGTGGTAGTTGCACCAACATTTGATTCAGCAAATGAGCCAAAGCGTCTGAGACAAAATATAAATTCATGACGGTGAGTATAGAATAGATAGAAGTATGGACTGCAGTTGGTTTGATATCACAGATAAAGAACTGCTGTTTGTCTAATCAGAGTATCTCACCTTTCTGCCCAAACCCTTGTGCTCAGCTTAGTTTAACGGAGGAATGGAAAAACTGAAAGGTCACACTGAGCGGCGGTTGATTCAGAACACACACCATCTTTGGTAACCTGTTTTTTTCCACTCAAGCCTGGTTTGCTTATGTGAACTAAACTGAGGTTTAAAGAACTATTTTTTTTTTCAAATCTCACACCTTCTAGGTGGATCGGTAAACAAATGCTATGGATCCCATGGGTGTGCAGCTCGGCGAACCGCAGAGCCTTATTTGCTCCTGCTTGTCTCGGCTTGCGGCTGTGTATTTCTGTCCCTGTGAAGATGCAAAGGTAGCATGGTAGGACGCACATCAGCACGCAGAATGTGTGCATACACCCTTACAGATGTGCACACACACATGCATGCACGCACACACCATTGGTACTTTAAAAACACAGCGCCCTGCAACAAAGCCACCAAAAATAACAGGCACCTGTTGCTCAAACCACAATGTCTACTGTGAAGCCAAATTAGAGCGTTTCCCTGGCAACAGTAATTTCAATTACAAGCCGCACAGCAGCAGCGGCCTAGAAAACAACTTCACTTAAACAATGCTGCTATGTGAGTCACCAGTAAACAATGAACTGCAACATGTGTATGTGTGTGTGATGCTCATATTCTCCTACTTTATAAAATACGCCCTGATGTTGAATGATGTTCTATGGAAGACCTCCAAGACCTCACTGGCTGTTTGAGGGCAAGACAAGACCTCATTAGTCACATTAGCCATTAGTGGCTGGAGTATGATTGCACCGTTGATTGCAAGGATTCCAGTGGAGTGTGACAAATACAAAGCCTGCGTCTCTGCAGAGTTCTCCATCCAGTTGGAGTTTGTCACTGAGTGGGCTGTGGTGTTAATGTGTTGTAGGGGCTCCTCTAGTGGTCACAACCAGAACTGTTCACTGAGTGTCAGTGACTCAGAGTCTCAGTAGAACAGTATCAGCTCCATGAGACGATACGAGCAGCTCATCAGAGCACAAACTGAGTTTAATTCTACATTTAAGTTACAATCATTCAACATGTAAAATAAAAATGTTACATTTATTGTGGGGTTTTCCTCCGGCTGGCGTTGTTGTATATCATAATCCTGCGAAAATTATGTAATTACAGTTGCAGAGATAATGTGCCAAGTAGTGGCCGAAAGTGGTTTTTTATACAGTGTTCTACATAGAAGTTCCTATATAGTGAGGTAGGTGTTAGTTGGTGATTTCAGACACGGCCTTTGTCTTCTTCAAAGACAGAGTCCTTATGATAACCCTGCTGAAGCCCCAACCTCCTTGATTGAGGACTGCTTAGTTCATCAAATGCATATTATGGAGCAGTTGATAAATTCCCTCAGACTGCACCAAAATAAATTTACCAGCCCTAATTGTGTTGTTTTATATTGTGATGCTCTTAGTTTTGGTCAGAAATTGTTGACGCCTAAAAAATATGCAAAGGTTTTTGTTGTGATATATACAACNTTCGATACAACGTATACTCACATATACCAGAGTTTTGTTTTCCTCCCTGTCCTGGAAAATATTAAAGACGGACTCCATGTCCTTTTTATTCAGAATGAGATAGTTTGAATCTACAGAGAGGACGACACACACATTTAATATCAAATGAACAGTAACAGGATACTGACTTTTTAAAGAGCTGTGAAATGTCGCCCTACATTTGGCATTGATGAGGTCGTGTGCTTGCTCCCTGCTCTTAGTTTTCTCCTCCTCTGTGCGAGGGGGGGGGGGAGGTGCCGTTGGTTGAGAGTCAGGCCACTGTTTGTCTCGCAGAGCGTCGATGTAAGCAGCCATCTGCTCCTCTGTTGGGTTCATCTTGTCTAGGAAAGAGTTAACTTTCCTTAGGAGGAAAAAAAACGTACAGTTCAGAATCATGAACACACAAACGTGTGAAGTGTGGAAATGTGTTTTGCAGTGGACTCACTTTTTCAGGATGGGCATGACAGGTTTCAGAATAGTATCAAATATGTTAATGAGGATGGAGTTTCCTGTAAAGACACAAGAGGAAGTGAAAATCATGTCTGTCGGGAGCAAAATAAGCAGTCAATGCTGAAATATCCATTTTGGAACATGAAAGAAATCTGAACCCTCCAGTGCGGAGCAGACTTGTCAGGACAGAGGACGAGAGTTTGCGTTAGCACAACCACAGGCTTATATTATGCTGCTTAGCTGACGTGCACTCTGACACCACGGATGAGTTGTTATTCTCTTTATACTTCTTTCTACTCTGCTTGGAAGAGCACATGTGAAATTACTGCCCCTGCGACGTAGTGATCACACAAACCAGCACAACTATATATATTTTTTTTTTTTTACAGGAATATATGAACAGTAACTGTATGTACACAAAAAACAGCCTCTTCCAGGGGTTCACATACAAATACAGGAGAGATGGAGATGAGAAACACAAATTCACATTAAAAATTATGTATCATAAGCCTATAAAACTAGTTGTGGACTGTCTTCTTATTCTTCGTTCTTAAGTATTGCTTTGCAGTCCATGAATGTGGAATTTAATTTAAAAATAAAAAAATGTCTTTATCTATCCAATAACTTCAAAACATAGATAAATGTTTTATCATGAAGCTGAATAGTTTGAAAGCTGTTCCCATTATTCCCTCTCATGTTTTTCCTCGGTCTTCAGCCTTCAGATCCTCACTGATCTCATACAGCGCCTCTCTGGAATCTACCAGAATGTTAAAGAACTTAAATCCCTGTCTTCTTATGATTGACTTGATTTGTTAATTCTTTGAGTGACTGCAATGATTTCATAAATCTTACTGCAGCTGATTGGATTTTCATGTTTGAAGCCTCCTGAGGTTAATTCACCACAGTGAACACTTATCTGTGTTTGTCGACACAGTATTGTTTTTAAATTCTAACACAGTTCAAACATGGTCTGAAAATACAAAGCCAAACCTTTCAATGAATTCAATTAAAATGACTCTTCTATCAGTCTAACTTTATTTATTTAGCTGAATGTAGCGTTGTTTGGCTGCCAGGTTTCAATTATGGATTATCTGAGCTCCTGACAAGCTCATGCAAGCACCGACCCAGAGACGTATCAAAACAAACCAAACTTTCACCTTACAAAATACCAGATGATGATGAATAAAGACAGATTCACGATCACTGTAAAGGATTAGCCGTCTCAGACAAACATTGTGTCTCTACAGGTCAGTTTGCTTGTGATACTGCGAAGTATATATACGATTTCTAGTAAAAGACAAAAGAAGAAAAAAACCCTGATAAGAACTAAAAGCTCTTACTGCTGATTAGAAAAGAAGTGAGTTCAAAAAAAAGTTTGAACAAACCAGAAATTTCCTTCAGGAGATCAAATATGGCTTTGGTCGCCTCAAGCTGCTCCCACTTGCCCTGGCTCCTCTGACCCTCCGAGTCCTCCCCTCTTGGCAACGTGCCCTGCTCCTTCCCTTTGGCCTTGCTCACTCCATTTGACATCTTGAAACATGTTTTGTCTTTTTTAGTTGACCTTGCACTGAAATTGAGCCAAGACGGCCCCTCTGAGCTGTCCCCCTGCGAGTTTCGGTCCTGGCTGCTTTGCGGCGAGCAGGCAAGAGACTCTTGTGACCTGGATCGGCTCAGTCCTCTGATGATGTTTTTAAAGTGAGAGGTGAGGGGATTATCAGAGTCCTCCGTTTTGCCCTGGGAACCGCTGTCATTACTTGAAGGGTCTGAGTTAACAGCAGAGTGTGTCTGTGTTTCTGCTTCTGCCTCCTCTCCTGGTTCTGCAGGAGGTTCCCAGTCAGAGATAACGATAGTTGGGAGAGTAGCACTGGGAGCATCGGTGTGACTCGGTGTAGAGGCACCAGGGTTTTCTGACGGCGAAGCTGAAAATTCTGACATCATGCTGTCTTTAGGGGTTTCTGTCTGAGGGCTGGAGGTCTGCGAAGAAAAACATTAATAGTGACTGCTGACCCTGTGGCTTCTGTGGCGCAGACACCAATAAACAAATCCATATATCAGGTCAGTGTCACATTTTTAAAAAGGTACAGTGCACAGATGTTTTAGTTCAGTTTTCTCATTGTGGGTGGAAATATAAAGCATCTAAAGGAAGTTCTCTAAAGTCTTTGAGGTATCCGTTATCACAGTTTCAGCTCGAGACGTAACTTTTATAGCAGAGAGCCTCATTTTATTTACAGGGGGTGAGGAGTTATGAACATTTATCATGCAGTGAGGATGTAATAATATCAAGTAGTCATGTGGTAAATATAAGAACCAATGTTTTAGTAGTTTGACTCATAGTAAAGGTTAAGAGCAACGATATCTCCATTTCGGCAGCTTCAGTTTTAATCAAGTTTATAGACGAGCTTTCCGTTTATCGTTTGAGATCCAGAATTTTGATCAGCCGATTTCGACTGTCTCTGTTTCCATTAGCTATAGATAAAGTTCTAGGTTGAAATAAACCAGAGTGATCTGTTAATGTCAGAATGAGGAAAAGCAGACAGGGGAAAGTTTACCTCTTCCTCCTCTTGACCTGGAGTCAGGAAGTAGGCCAAGCCGCTGAGGAGGCCCCACACGCCTTCATAGTGTTCTTCTTCATTCAACAGTTTGTCAAGCGGGCAGAGGAACTGAAAAACTGGTTGAGTGTGACCGATCATATTATCCGAGACCAACTCCTGGAAAAGAAAACAACAACAAAAGTGGAGCCATGAAGCATTTTTAAGCAATACATGTCACTGTCAATACATCAAAGTTTTTTTAATCTTCCACCTGTAGAAAGTATTCCACTGATACTCGAGCTTCTTCTTTAACCTCATCGCTGACATCCGACTCCTCCAGTTCCAGGATTGAGGGCAGGGTGGTCGAGTCCTGAGAAGTGCAAAAAGCTGAATCCCAGACTTGTGAAACAAAAGTTGTATATTATTTAAACAGCAGTGCTTCCCTCAGGCTCATACAGAAAACATAGAAAGAAGTAAAGACAACTGAAAAATATCTGACTAATCCAAAATACACAGTCCATTTGCAGAAAATCCTGTTAAAAGGTCAAATACACCAGATGTCACACAAGACCCACAATGGAACTTGTCCACCACACACTGCTGTTCTCACATCAGTGTACATGTTAAGATGTTAAGATTCTCTGCTGTGTGTAGCGTCTTTTTGGGTAAATGTCCTCCATATAATAAATATCAATCTTTTACACATGTCACCTACACTGAGTAGTTTTCTCAAACAACATGCTGCTCTCCTCTGGTTCTTGGGAAGTACCGCCTCATTGTTTTCATAGTTACAACGATGTCAATAGTTTGGCATCATCTCCCATTTGTGTTGTGAGAGTTTGGTTTTCAAGCTTGCAACATGGACATCAATTCAGTGATTCAGGTCAGTGGTTCCATACAAGGCCATAATAAGGTGTAATTAAGCATGTTACCGATTTTTCACTTCAGAAAACGCTTCAATAAATACCAAGAATTATTAAGTTGGTGGTTGGAGTGTGGTTTTTCATTTCATATTGCAGACATGAATCCTGTTTTCAATTAGGTTTGATTTGTTTACAGTGTGCAGACACTACATTCAGCTGCCACTTTATTATTGGATCCTCAACTGAGCTGTACTGAATTATATATTAACATACCCTCAGAGATATACATGTTTATGACAGTGCTGTTGTGCTGCTCTGCACAAAGCGGATGTACCTGATAAACTGCTAAGTGAGTTTATATCGCAGGTAATTATATCTGTTAAAAGCAGACAAAAAAAAAAAAAACACTAAACCAGTATTTGTGTTTACCTGCCATCTGTTGCGAAAATAAATCACATCCATGTAGGTCTTCCTGATGTCCCACTGCAGGTTCTCCGGGCTGTTATTCTCCGCCAGGTGAACGGTGAAGGTCAGCTCCTCATCCTCCAGGTCGACCTGCAACACGGTTGACTCGTGCTCAAACTGCAGCTCAAACATTAACAAACCATCCAAGGACAAGCTTTTACAGGCCTGCAGGAAATTCCACACTGTCAGTGGTATTTATGTCTCACACAAGGGATGCTGACAGCCCAGCGGCCAACGCGCCACATCTCATACGACAGCTTGAATTCCATCATGTCCTCTTGCACTGTTGTCAAGTAGTTCTCCAGATCGCTGTCCTCCTAATGTTTTGGCCAAAAAGCGGCAATATGTCATGTTTCACAAATCGTCATCATCAGTTTAATGAGTTGTGTTCTCTGCGGCGGCCTCACCCTGTCAGAGTCCTGCTGGCTGTAAATGGAGCCCTCCCTGCTGCTGGCATCGTCCTCGTTGGGCGCGTTGTCCTGAATCCCCATGATCCTCATCATCAGCTCCTGCTCCATCATTTTCATCTTCTTCTTCTTGGCTTTCTTGGACTTCATCTTGTCCACAAATTTTGACCATCCTTCCTTCAGCTTGTTGCCTGAATATTAAAGAATGAAAGTCACATGGGGATTCTTCAGATTTCAACAAGTTAATTAAAGACCTACGTCAAGTATGACAGATATTAAGAAATATTAAAATCCCAGAATTACTTACACTTCCCAATCATTGAAGAAAAGGTGAAGTAGCCTAGCAGAGAATAACCCTGGAAATTGCACAACTATCTCACAAACTACAGGCAGAGACGATAAGTATCCACAACCAAGTCGAGTGTACTGAGATAAAGTCTAACAAGGTCGTTTGTAGAATCAGTTCCACGTTGGTCTTTTCTGTATCGTTAAAAATAAACCTCAACACACTGACACATAGCAAACTATGAATGGCGCCAATACAATTCTATGAAACATGAATTTTAATTGCAACAGAAGCGGCGTTCAATGAACATTAACATAGTTAAGACCTAGTATGTAATATTTTATAGCATAAAACATTTCAAGAATTTTAGACTCCACTATCACAGACAATTTCACAGTTTCTCATTAATATTTTACTGTCTTTACTAACTTTAGTACCAGTTTTCTTTATTGTGTTCACTGTCATAATAAAAGAACATTTTCTTCCCCCTGTGTCCTGAGTGTTATTCATGGACAGAATAATGATAAATTAAACCTCGACCTTGGTCTTGACCTAATCAACACTTCAGCAGCAAATCTGCATAAACTTTATGCTGCGAGAAAACTATTCACAGGATATAATTCACACTTAATTGGATGTGTAAGAACTGTAAATATGATTTGTAATCAAACTTTCAGCGTAATGCTCTACGTGATGGCCTAACAATCAATAAACGTCTCTGCAAAGATGCATAATTGTTACTGATAATGACATATTGTATTGTTTTTTTCAGAATTTATGGCTGGGCCTTAAGAGAAAATATGCACATTTATCATATCAGATGGTTCATTACCATGGCAAAATCACTCTTATACAGTCATCATCGCTGTTGGATTGTTTTCAATACAAAGAGAAAGGAGCTGCGCTTGAAAACAGCTCAGGAATAATTTGGCATTCAGCTTGCTGTATGTGTAATTACCTATCTGGACCATAAACAGAAGGAGCGGGGGACTAATTAGGCATTGAAATGCAGGCTGGTGGGGAAAATCATAATGTCACACTGCTGTTTATCAAACCATTGTACAAGATGTTGTACAAGCACAGTCGTCTATTCTCCAAACACCGAATAATCGACGTTACATCCATCTGCCTTTCTAGTCTACATTATCCTCCACTGAAAAATAACAGTTTAAAATCATATGTACTGTATCAGAGAGGCTTGAAATGAATAGGCTTTGTGTTCAAACTAAAAACACACCTTTCCTTTTGCCCTTGACCCTGGTGCCAGTTGGAATCTCCGCTCCCTCCGAGCTCCTAGAAAACCAAAAAACACCCATCGGACAAAACTACGTCAGATCCAACTTCTAACATGTGGTCTGATGTGATCACTGCTCCGAGGCTCACTGTGACATGGTCATGTCAGCAGGGTGCAAAAAAGTTTACAGCCACTCACACTTCTGTGACATTGCCCCCGTCTTTGTCCTCCTGCGAAGCCAGAGAGGCTAGTTCTGGGTCGGACCCACACAGATCCTCCATGGAGTCTTTGGGGGTTGCGCTGTTGAGTTGGCTGAGCACCAGCTGGTTCAGGTTGTCGGGGTCAGACAGCCATGTCACCAACAGACCCAACCCTGGGGAAAACAGCCAACACCCTAAATCCTGCAGACTTGGTTTGTTTAGATTGTTTAGATTAAATCATCTTCATACATCTGAAAACTCAAAAAATTTAAAAGGGAATAGTTTTATGGTTTTCAAAATACAGTTACAGTTAAAGACATTCTTGGCCGAGAAAAGTGATTTCCACAAGATAACTGATCATATGTGAGTAGATCACTCAGGACGGATGTTAATACCAGGTCTGAACAGGTTCAACGACAACAAGGAAGTAACAACAATTCCAGAGATTTGCATGTTAGTAATGAATGTGAATGACACAATGTCATACTTTTCATTTAAATCTAGCACATTAGTTCTTCTTAGAATTTAAAGGCTCAGTGTGTAGAATTTTGTGACATCTAGAGGTAAAGTTTCATGTTGCAGCTGAATACCCCTCATCTCACCCTCCCCTTCCCAACATGAAATAGAACCTGTGGTGAACTTCAGTTGTCATGAAAACTCAAAAGGTTTTAGTTTGTCCAGTTCGGATGACAGTAAAAAACATGGCGGCCTTCACAGAAAGGACCTCCCTCCATGTTTATGTAAAGGTTTTAGATATTAAGAGCCCATTCTAGGTAAAGAAAACTAAAATTCATATAATTTAGATGATTACACACCAGTCACGACATCACGAGGATTATTTTAAATTAAATTTCTGCCAAAAATCCCTTTCATGTAAATCTTACACACTAGACCTTTAAAAGGATTAATGGATTTAAAATAAGTCCTAATATAAATGTATGTGATCCAATGCTTTAAATGTCCGAACATTGTACAGTTCAATAACTGTAACTGATATGTGAAATCATAATTTTAGGATGAAGGAGAATTATGCATTTTACTGTATTAGTGAAACCATGTGTAACGTTGCCAACCATGCAAATTCACTGCAAACACTCAGTCTCAAAATGCTCTTGTCAGAAATGAGCTGTACCAAGTCATTAAAATGGAAAATAGTCTGGGCGTGCGATTATTTTTTAACTACAGCTGAAAAAAAATCACTTTTAGTAACTGAGCCACATGTAAAATTGCTAAAACCTAGTGCACAGCAAGGCTCCCACAAGATAAAACATTTTATCCGTTACTAAAAAAAAAGATGAAACCCTGAAGGGAACTGGCAGATCACTGCAGAAGGAGCTTTCTTTTTATACACCCAAAATTCCTATCCTAAGCTCCACAATGCCACTGACAATACAGGATTACATACAATTCTCACTTGTGTAAGTCATCATTGGAGGCTTAGCGCCTTATGTAAGACTATGCGCTTGCAAAAAAAGATAATTTAATGCTTTCCTACCCTTTAAGGCAACAATCTCATTTAAGGCACAGCGGTTGACTTCTTGGCCCCAGAAAGATTTGGAGAAAAGGTTGCGTACAAGAGCATCGGAAAGCTCTCGAAGAACTGCGACCTCATCTGCTGCGGAGCTGAACAGAAGCACCCTGAGAGAACACACAGCAGAGGAAGTAAAAAGAAGTAAAAGTGAAGTAGAAGTACTAAACGAGATTGTAGATGTTTATCACCTCACAACTGTTATCACTTGATGTAAATCTTAAATCTAAAGTGACGTATTACTCTTCAAACACCATTTAGCAAAATAAATACCATTAGGACATCATGGCAGGCATGATCCAGTAAAGGTTTGGTAAATTATTCACAGGCACTAAAAAAAATATTGAGGCCTTTATAGAGTTCAGGCACATTACAGAGTGCGAAGAGTAACTGAAGCAGCACCGGCAGAGAATGACAAAGAGCCATTTAAAAGGAGAGTAGGTATAAAGTCTCACCTGTCAGACTGCTTCGCATTGTGCAAGTGCTGGGTCAGAATACGAACCGATCCCACCACCGCCTGGCCGATATCAAAGTCCTTTGCTCTCTCAATGATGCGGTCAATTACACAGTCGAATTCCCTGCTGAGCACCTGGTGCAGAGGCTGGTGCTCACGAGGCTCAGGAACGACGTACCAGGGCAAGACCAGCCGAGCATAGACACACTCAAACACTGAGGAGAGCAGACACGGAGTCGGTCAGTCAGTCACCAGGGAAATTCAAATTAACACCAAGTTACCATGATCACCATCAAACTGAGAGACACCAAATCATCATATTTCACTTCGGATTAGAGCCCAACCAATTTATCATTTGGCCAATAAACAAAAAGATAAACATCAGCCGATATGAGCCTTTCACAGATACATGTATATAGGTATCATTATTTGTTTGCTCGATAATAAAGTTTATAGATATAGATCAATCACAC